TCAGATTTTTGGACAGGAATCTGAATTTGTCTAGTAATAAAGTTAAATGAATGATGAGGTAGCTATAAATAGGAAAAAATTATGAGTAAGAATATTTTAAAAATGTGTCTATGACATAAACAGGACATTAACAATGTCCAATAAAGATGTGTCTCTATAGTTCAATTTGTCTCCATCTTCTTGTCACAAAAACTCTTGCAATCTATTTGTCACATTTAGCAGCGCAATCTTTAATCATGAAGCTTAAAGACATAAATAGTTCTTTTATTTCCTAAAGCATACTCCTTTTAAATGCAGTTGACAGCCTTCATGTTCATTCTAGAGGTAATTTCATTCCATTGTTTGAAGAAATTCTTTGATGTTACTATATTTATTGATGATTTCATTTAAAAGTTAAAAACAAAACCAAAAACAAATCTTAACATCCCATATTCTCTCATGAATACAAATGCATCTCCAGTGATCAATCTCAAAATGCCTGAAAAAGTGTCATAAGGCAAATGTGAAGAGGGAACTTAGCCTGATGGCCCTGGGCACTTAGCAATACCAGGTGCATGCCCCTGATCACCCAGCTGTACTCCTGAAGCACGATATTAAGATTCAAAACATTCCAGGAAGAATTTATGTCTGCACTGGTTCGAAGGAAGGAAATAAAGACCCCTATCTTTAGATGGAAGCATGTCAAAATCACAAAGAAGGCCAGGCATGGTAGTGCACGCCTATAATTCCAGCACTTGGAATTTAAGGCCAGCGTGGGCTACAAAGTGAGTTCAAGGCCGGCCTGAATTGCATAGCAAAACACTGTCTCAAAAAGACAAACAAAACAAAACAAAACCCAAAAACAACCCCCCAAAAAAACCACCACAAAGAATAGCATACTGGGTAAAGTGGACTGACTGTGTGTGCAGATACACTATACAGTCATTTTTGGAAAATACAATCTACTCCACAAGCAAAAAGAAAGAAAAAGGCCTATATCAAGGTATATTATGAAATGTTAGGAACTCCAGACAGCCTAAAATTTTTCCAAATGCAAGGAAAAAGAAAATAGAGATTAAAATGGTATCAGAGTTCTCGATAGCAACACTAGAAGCTAATGATGGAACAATGCCTTCAAAAGAGGGACACTGCTGGGGCTATAGCTCAGCAGCACAAGCACCTGCCTGGCAAGTGCAAGGTCCTGAGCTTGACTCCTGGTATCAACAAAACAAAACAAAATAAAACAAAAAGCAAAAACATAGTGTCAAAAGAGGGACACTAATTTTCAATGTAGAATTCACCATTGAGGTAAGTCACCATTCAAATGTAAGGGTAAAATAAAGGCATTTCCAGATATGCAAATTCTGAATTCAAGAAAGAACTTGAGATTTTGTATGTACTCTTTCTCCCTAAAGAATAAAGAAGACACAGGATCCAGGAAATAGGAGATCCAACACAGGTAATGGCAAAGGGATTTTCCAAGATGATGACAAAGGGAAGTCCCAGGATGATGGCTGTGCAGTAATTGGGAGACCAAACCAATCCAGACTGTAGTAGAAAAAGAAGGGCTCTAGCAGAACCATCTCCCAGGAAAAAGAAATGAAAATGAAAGGTTATCTGAAAATACTGAAAGACTATCAGTTCTGTCAGAGTTTGAGGACAAATTAGTGACTGAACAAAGAAGCCTAAGCAAATGAAAAACAAAAGACACAATTATTTCATTCAGGAAAAACAAAAGGTGTACAAGAAGAAAATGTAATAACAGTACCCTTCATGGCTCATCTGTGACTAACAGGCATACTGTCATAGCATAGAATATTGAACACTGATTTAATGATGAGGATGCAAGGTGGTTATACAGGATAGCTATAGCCTCAGCTTCCCAAATAGAAGCTCATCCAGAGTATGCAAAGATAAAAAAACAAGAAATAGCAGTATCAACATTAAAAACAAAACCAGCCAAATTATATGAAACTGCTGCTTTTTGTTCTATTTTGGTTTTTTGAGACAGGGTCTCACTATGTAGTTCAGGCTGGCCTCTAACTTGGAGTGATCCTCCTGCCTCAGCCTCCCAAGTGCTGGGGTTACAAGAGTGTGCCACCATGCCTGGCTGTTAAAACTGCTGACTTTAAAATCATTTTCCAATCTAAAAAATTTTTATGTGGTGCAAGTTAATATATAATAATATTACTACTAATTTTAGAATAAGCAGAAAACAGCTATTGCTAAAGAACGCTCAACGGAAAACTTTTTTTTTGTTAGTAAATATTGTTAGAAGGATAATGGGTCCCAGTTTGGGGTAACGAAGTGTCAAACATATGTTACTACCATTACTAACGTAACAATTATTAACATTCTAAAGAATGTAAATAATATATTTACTACTAAAACATTTAACATGTAATCTACTTTCATGTTATGAAAGTTACATTAGAATTTTTCATCAGTTATCACACTACAGAAACATTTAACTGTGTTGGCAAAATTTTAACTAACAGAATGCTGAATAACAAGGGCAGGCTGTATTTAGGCTCCTTTGTTGACATAAAAAATAGCTAAGTCACTCTTGCAAAATTAAAGCTCTACAAAATTGCAATTCTGTAAGGCTACTTCAGTGATAATTTTGATTAGTGATGCTAGTTTTTAAATTAACTTATTTGAGTTAATAAGTTCATTAACATTAAAAATTTACTTAAATTTATACAATGAAAGGTTATAACCAAACCTTATCCAATTAAGAAAGAGTATCAATTTTTACCAATGTTAACGGTTACAAAAAAAGAATTGAAACTTGTTAGTATAAGGTACAAGTTTTATCAAAGATAATGGATTCCGATCCAGCCAGTGGAAAATTTCCTCTTCAAATTAAAAGCAAATGTTTTAAACAGAGAGAATATGCATAAACAGATGCTGTGGGGGTTTATATATCACTTTGCGCTGCAAACTACTAGGAATTAAAATATGTGTGATTCAAAAATAAATAAAGAGAATCCTGAAGGAAACTGAACCCACCCAATTATTCCTATTATCCAGTATAAGCTCTTTTTCTTTTCTTTTTTCTTTTATAAGCTATAATAGGGATTGAACTCAAGGCCTCACACATGCTAGGCAAGCGCACTAGCACTGCATTATACGGCCAATCCTTTTTATTTTATTGAGACAGGCTCTCAGTAAATTGCCCAGGTTGACCCCAAATTTGCAATCCTCTTGCCTCAGACATCAGGACTACAGTTTGGGCCACCATGCCTGGCTATCTCCCCCTCACCACTATTTTGAATCAGAGATCATAATAAAATATATTTTTGTTTGTTTGTTTTTGTTTTTTCTCCGGTACCAGGAACCGAACTCACGACCTTGCGCTTGCCAGGCAGGCACTTTGCCGCTGAGCTAAATCCCCAGCCCCTAAAATATATTTTTGAAGTGTATTTTTATAACTATAATTTTCCATCACTGTATAAAATTAGAAGGATAAAAAAGAAAGTGAAAATCATCACTCAACCAAACAACTATCTTCTAAAATTTAAATACTTTGGTTTAAAAACAAAATAGTAAGGAACAGCTGGTGCTATCACAATGACCTCTTTCTAACTGGTCTACATCGACTGCAACTGCTCATAACTTTACCAGGGCAACAGTCAGGCAGGCAGTTCTACTGAGCCCAAGTAAGTCTATGGGACCTGAAGAGCCTTCTTCTCTCTCAGCAGATGAGGACAATGAAAAAAGGTGTTCTGTTTTTCAGTAGTCCTGTAAGAGGAGCCATTGAGCTGGGCTGCACAACCAGACAACAGAACACAGGAAAATTCAGATCAAAGCAAGGGCGCATGCCAAGGTAATATGCAATAAAACCCTTGGCCAAAGCATTAAGGAAAAAAAGCAAGGAGGTGGAGAGAAGCTGCTGGACCACCTTCTTATTAATACAGAGAGGCAGAAGAAACAAAATCTGCCTATAATGAAGAGCCAACAAAACAGTGTCCTAGATATGCTGGAGTATTCCTACAGAGATGTACGTAAGTATAAAGGCATATTCCCCACGAACCAAACCCAGAAAGCAGTGTCCTGTACGTTGCAGTGTTCCTATGTACACAGATATGAATATATTACCATTAACTAGACCCCCAAAAGCAAGGTATTCTAAATATAGATAAGGATACAGATACAAATTTTCAATTAACAAAACCCACTGGTTTTACAGTGAGAAACAAAAAACTGCTACTCGAATTAACACCAGAAACAGAATGAGGTAAAGGTGTGAAGTTCTCTCTGTATCGCCCTTTTTCCCTTCTGATGATCTCTGATTTTCGTCTACGGCCACACCACCCTGAATGCGCCCGATCTCGTCTGATTTTTGATTTTCTCATTTCACAGGGGACTCACACGCGCGCGCACACATTAGGTCTCCAGAAACAAAGAAGGGTCCTTAATTCTCCGGCCTGCGGGAGCACACACGCCCCCCACCCACAGATAATGAGGCCACCATATGACTTTCATTAACGGGTGAGCCAAGGAGAGACGTCTCCATGCCGATCAATGCCTCGCACACTGGCAACCACGCACAAGACAAGCGCCACAAAGAAAGGAGAGAAGTGGGTCGGGACCAGGAAAACACTGCCACGCCGCGCCCCCCGAGGCGCGTCCCCCCGCCAGCACGGAGCGGCCGTCCTCGCCATCCTCCGAGGCTCCCGGCTCTCGCAGCCAACTCCCACGCCCGGGGAGCCGCGCCGAGGCTCGGGCGACCGGGTTGCGAGGGGGCGGCCACCCTGCTCCCCGTGACCTCCCGTGACAGCCGCGCGCCGCTCTTCCCGCGGGAGTCATCCCCGGGCCGCGTCGGACCCTGCCCCGCGCCCCTCTGGGGCCTGGGGCCGCTGTCCTAGCCTTCCGCCCCCCGCGGGGGCTCCCGAGTGTGAGGGAGTTGGCGCGGGCCTGCGTCCTCCCCAGCATCCCGGACCGGACCCGCCCAGTCCCCTAAATCCCAGTCCGGGGGCGGCGGCCCTTGGTGCCTGTGTCCTTGCTGGCTCACTTACTCTCGCGCGCCGGCGCTGGCGGTAGACGTGTGAGACCTTCAGCTCTCGGCGGCTGGCAGCGGGTGGAGAGCTGCGGGCGACGAGAGTCAGTCAGTGCAGACCCAGCGCGGCTGAGGTGGCGGCGGCAGACTGCGCGCGGCTGCCCCCGGTGAGGGGCGGGCCCGGCGGGGGAGGGGCGGGCGCCGCGCCTCTCATTCATGCAGCGGGGGCGGGGTGAGGGACCCGGATGCCCGGGCAGCCCCCGCCCACCGCGCTGAGGGCGCGCGGCTTCGGCGTCTGCCGTGCGCAAGCGCGGCGTTCCCTGTGGGCCTGGTTTCGTCGGGTGCTGGCACTGTCTCGTTACAGAAGTATATTGGTTAGACCTCTCTTTTGACTGTTCAGTATTTTTGTTTGCTCTGTGAGCATTAAAAAAACAAACCAAAACAAAAAAATAATGAACGCCTGGAACTTCACCTCCTTCCTAGCATCCAGCTTAGCAGTCCTTGGGGACAGGGGCTGAGCACTGGCGTGGGCTACCCACTAGTTGGGTGGAGAGGTAGTGCACATCATACCATCTGTCCCTCCTGCTGCAGGGCCTCTTAGCTGAGTGCTGGGACTGCGGTGATTGCTGAGACCCAGACTGTGGGTAGCGGAAAGAATTACTGGCAAGAAAACAATGTGCTCTTTAATTACATCTACCTACCCATCTCACCCCCAGTTTCCATTCTACAGGGCAGGCAAAAAATTGATTTCTGTTTTGGGATCTCGGTTTTTCCTGTAAGACCAAGTCCTAGACTCTAAAGTAGCTCCATCCATCTGGGAAGGCCTGTCTTGTCATTAGCAGGAGTCACTCTTATTCCCAGTTCTTTGGTTATGCAGCTCCTGGGGCTGGAAGCAGGTGTCAGGCCTCAACGGCTGGAAGCAGGTGTCAGGCCTCAACCTTCCTCTCTGAGGCGCCTCATGAGTGTGGACACCGCAGCTCAGGGCTTGCAGAAACAATTGTCTCGTTTTTCTCAGTCCCCATGTCCTTCTCTGAGGTTCTTTTTCCTTCTGCCCTCCTGTACCCCTCACATAAATAGCTCAGAGGCTTAACGTCGTAGAACACTTCAAGAAATAATCTGCTACCCAGTGGTTACAGGCCTCTAAGAGGAGAGATGGTACAGGCCTTTGCTAGCAAGAGTGGGCAGCTCTTCCATTGCAGCTCCCTGTCTCAGGGCTATAGACCCACACTCTGCCTGCCTCTCAAGTCAGGAAAGTGGGGGATCCTTTCCCTCCTTGTTTTCAGTGGCAGCACTCACCAAGAAGGCCTTCTCAACCCAGGTTTGCTGGTACTATACCTCTCCCTCTGCCTAAATTAGGTTTCCTCATCTCTCCTCTGGGCAGTTGGGAACTACTCAGTCCAGTCCCATGCAAGGCTAATCTTGTGATATGCAAATCTGCCATGGTCTCACCTTTTCCTTTCCCTGCCCCATGTGACACGTCAAGCCTTATCTTCCAGCTGTTTCCAGTACAGCACCATGGTTTTTCACCCTTGGTGACCATGTTAACTGTTGGTTCTTCCAAGAGGAACGTACACTTAGCAATACAGAAAAGTTCCTTTTTCTTCTGAAAAGTCCACAGAGGGTTTTTTTTTTTTCAGTCAATGAAAATGCTGTGTGATATTATGATGATGAATATGTCATTATATATTTGTGGAAATCTGTAGAATATGTGGTATCAAGAGTGAATCCAGGGGATTAGGACCAAGATGGCCTCCAGTAAACCACCATCAACAACAACAACAACAAACAAATCTACAGCCTGGCATATCCTAGTCAAGATTCCAGAAATTCAACACAAGAATAGAATCTTAAAAGCTGTTAGGGAAAAGAAACAAATCACCTATAAAGGAAAGCCCATCAGAATCAAAGTTGACTTCTCAGCACAAAGAAGAGCTTGGAGTGAAGTATTTCAAGTTCTACAGGAAAACAGCTTTCAACCCAGATTGATGTACCCTGCAAAACTATCTTTCAAAATTGATGGAGAAATAAGATACTTTCATGACAAAGAATACCTGAGGAAATTTATGGCCATGAAACCAACACTCTAAAAGGTTTTGAAGGACATTCTAGAAAGGGATAACAAGGACTAGAATTACATGAACCTCAACAGAAGGAATCCACTAAGCAAGGCAAACAGTTACACAGAGGGAGGGGAAAAAAGAGGGAGATCCAACAATAGGAAAATAACATGACAAGGATAAATCAATACATATCAGTTATAACCATCAATGTTAATGGTATCAATTCGCCAACAAAAGACACAGGCTGGCAGAATGGATCAAAACAAAAGATCCAACAATATGCTGTATACAAGAAACACATTTAATTAAAAAAGAAATTCATAAACTGAAAATGAAAGGATGGAAAATGATACTTCATCTGATAGGAACCCATAGAAAAACAGGATAGCTATTCTATTTGTGGACAAAGTGAATTTCAAGCCAAGACTGATTAAGAGAGATAAAGAAGGTCACTACAGCTTTGTAAAGGATGGAAGAGATAACAATCATAAATATATATGCAACAAATACCAGTGCACTCAACTATATAAAACAAATATTAACAGGCACGAAAAATCAAATAAGCACTAATACAATTGTATTGGGGGATCTCAATAACCCACTGTTACAAAAAGACAGATCAAGTAGACAATCAAAACTAAATATTAGAACTGAACCAAACTTGTGAACAAATGGTCTTAACAGATGTCTACAGAGTGTTCCACCCCACAACATCAGAATACACATTCTTCCTAGGTGCATATGGGACATTCTCCAGAATAGACCACATACTAGCTCATAGAACATGCTTAAGTAAATGCAAAGGAAATGAAATTATCCCATGCATATTGTCAGGCCACAGTGCAATGAAATTGGAAGTCAGTGGCAAAAGAAACCAGAAGAACTTCATAAACACATGGAAATTAAGTAGCGTCCTCCTGAACAACCAATAGATCATTGATGAAATTAAAGAAGTAATTAATTTCTACAATTAAATGATAATGACAATACAACACATTGGAACTTATGGGACACAATGAAAGCAGTCCTAAGAGGGAAATTTATAGCAGTGAATACCCATGTCAGGAAAACAGAACAAGGGCAAATAAATGACTTAATGTTGAACCTCAAACTTCTAGAAAAAGAAGAGCAGGCTAGGCCAAAAGCTTGTATGAGGGAGGAAATGATAAAGATCAGAGAAGAAAGTAACACATTGGAGACTAATAAAACAATACAAAGAATCAATTGAGAGTTGGTTCTTTGAGAGATAAAATAAAATTGACAAACCCTTAGCCAACCTTATCAAATAAGGAAAAAAAAACCTCAAATCCATGCAATTAGGAATGAAAAGTGTGAAATCACAACAGACCCTGCAGAAATCCAGAAGATCATCTATACCTACTTTGAGAACTTGTTTTCTAATAAGATGGAAAATGTAGAAGAAATGGACAGATTCCTAGATACATATGAATTGCCAAAGCTAAATCAAGAAGATATAAAAATCTTAAATAAACCAATATTAATCAAAGAAATCAAAGATGTAATTAAAATCCAACCAACAAAGAAAAGCCCAGGATTCACTGCTGAATTCACAAGAAATTTAGAGAAAAGTTAACACCACTACTTCTCAAACTCTTTAATGAAATTGAAAGGGAAGTAATACTTCCAAATTCATTCTTGGAAGCAAGCATTACCCTGATATCAAAACTGGAGAAGGATGCAACTAAGAATAAGAACTACAGACCAATCTCCCTAAAGAACATTGATACAAAAATTCTCAATAAGGTACTGGCAAAGAAAATGCAGCAAATCATCAAGAAGATTATATACCATAACCAAGTGGGATTCATCCCAAGGATGCAGGGACAGTTTAACATATGTAAATCAATAAATGTAATATATCATATTAGCAGAACCAAGGACAAAAATCATATGTCATCTCAGTAATGCAGAAAAAGCTTTTGGCAAAGTTGAGCACCCATTCATGATAAAAAAAAAAAAAAAAAAAAAAAAAAAAAAA